GTGACAGTGTTAATTCGAGATGGGTGGAGATTGATTGGTAGAGAGGATGAGGGAGAGGAGGAGAAGTGGGAGGAGGATAGCGAGAGAGGAATAGGGAGAGTGAGATGTTGAGATTTGTTGGTGACTGTTGTGTTGGTGTTTTCCAGTGTATGTCTGAGTGTACGGGATTGCGTTGGTGTCTTCGGCGTGTGTGAGCGTGTTTGTGTGTCTGTGTGTCTGAATGCGATTGTTTGCGTATATGTGCCACAGACTGACGACATTGTCATTGAGAGTGTACATTTCTGTGTAGTCTTCTTGTATTGGAGTGTTATGTGAATTGATGTGGAGTGATGAGTGGATTGTTCACTTGTTTGTGCGTGTGTGTGCGATTGAGATGAGATGAGATTAGCTGAATGAGTGATTGACTGATTGAGTGATGATTGATTGATTGTTTGAGTGTGTTCACTATGACTGGGAGTAGTTCTGTCTGAGGTGGTTTTGTTGTGTTTTCTTGTAGGCGATTGGATGTGAGATATAATGAGTGTGTATGTTGATTGGATGCTTGATTTTGTGAATGGGTCGTGTGTGAATGTGTATTGTGTGGGTGTGCGAATGTCCGCCCGCGTGGCCTAATGGATAAGGCGTCTGCCTCCTAAGTAGAAGATTGCGGGTTCGAGTCCCGCCGTGGGTGTGGCTTTTGTGGACATCCTGCATCTGGATGCCCACGAGAAGACTCCGTCTCCTCTGCACTCGAATCTCAGTCGTCAGATGTCGCCGATCAGCAGAAGAATCACTGATCCACCACTCCTGCTCGACTGAGGCGTGCAGACGGAGAGCAGGACGTCGTCACTGACTGAATCAACACGAAACAGTCAATCGACTACTACACATCCGACACTCACGCACGCACGCACGCACGAACTCACACACTCACTCACTCACTCACTCACACGCACAAACAGCCATACACAGGCATATACACACACAGACTCACAAACAACACACAAACACACCGTCTCAATATTGTCGACAACACACAAGGATTTCGAAAATTCACACCATGTAAACACGCGAATTTCAGTCTTCGATGAATCGCATCAACCGCACTGGCATTCCCGTCACCTGTTCAGCCGATTCGAATACACCGAGAGATGAAGGTGATGATGTTGTCGACGAGAGATTTGATGGAGATGATTCCGACGCTGACGGCGATTGTTGTGATGGTGTTTGTGTCAGGATGGCATGATTTCGATTGTGTGTGTGTGTGGGTGTGTGTGACTGATTGTGTTCGAGGTTTGCTGTGTGTGTGTGTGTGTATCTCTGCGTGTAGGTGTCTGGTGAGTGTCTGATTTGGTGATGATAGATTTGTGTGTGAGTGTGGTGGCTAGTATGTGTCTGTGTGAAGGGGTGTGTGCACGCCTGTGCGTTTGCGTTTGTGTGTTCGTGTGGACACACATTGTGTTGTGTCGTGCAATAGATGATGGGGGAAGATGTGTATTCGGAGAGAGGAGTAGACAGGAAGTGAGTGACAGTGTTAATTCGAGATGGGTGGAGATTGATTGGTAGAGAGGATGAGGGAGAGGAGGAGAAGTGGGAGGAGGATAGCGAGAGAGGAATAGGGAGAGTGAGATGTTGAGATTTGTTGGTGACTGTTGTGTTGGTGTTTCCCAGTGTATGTCTGAGTGTACGGGATTGCGTTGGTGTCTTCGGCGTGTGTGAGCGTGTTTGTGTGTCTGTGTGTCTGAATGCGATTGTTTGCGTATATGTGCCACAGACTGACGACATTGTCATTGAGAGTGTACATTTCTGTGTAGTCTTCTTGTATTGGAGTGTTATGTGAATTGATGTGGAGTGATGAGTGGATTGTTCACTTGTGTGTGCGTGTGTGTCCGAGTGAGTTGTCATGAGATTAGCTGAATCATTGATTGACTGATTGAGTGATTGATTGTTTGATTGAGGTTGATCAGTATGACTGGGAGTAGTTCTGTCTGAGGTGGTTTTGTTGTGTTTTCTTGTAGGCGATTGGATGTGAGATATAATGAGTGTGTATGTTGATTGGATGCTTGATTTTGTGAATGGGTCGTGTGTGAATGTGTATTGTGTGGGTGTGCGAATGTCCGCCCGCGTGGCCTAATGGATAAGGCGTCTGCCTCCTAAGTAGAAGATTGCGGGTTCGAGTCCCGCCGTGGGTGTGGCTTTTGTGGACATCCTGCATCTGGATGCCCACGAGAAGACTCCGTCTCCTCTGCACTCGAATCTCAGTCGTCAGATGTCGCCGATCAGCAGAAGAATCACTGATCCACCACTCCTGCTCGACTGAGGCGTGCAGACGGAGAGCAGGACGTCGTCACTGACTGAATCAACACGAAACAGTCAATCGACTACTACACATCCGACACTCACGCACGCACGCACGAACTCACACACTCACTCACTCACTCACTCACACGCACAAACAGCCATACACAGGCATATACACACACAGACTCACAAACAACACACAAACACACCGTCTCAATATTGTCGACAACACACAAGGATTTCGAAAATTCACACCATGTAAACACGCGAATTTCAGTCTTCGATGAATCGCATCAACCGCACTGGCATTCCCGTCACCTGTTCAGCCGATTCGAATACACCGAGAGATGAAGGTGATGATGTTGTCGACGAGAGATTTGATGGAGATGATTCCGACGCTGACGGCGATTGTTGTGATGGTGTTTGTGTCAGGATGGCATGATTTCGATTGTGTGTGTGTGTGGGTGTGTGTGACTGATTGTGTTCGAGGTTTGCGTGTGTGTGTGTGTGTGTGTATCTCT